CAACAAGAATTTCAAGACCGACAACAAGATATGGATATGTGTGTCTCGCATCGAGTGAAGATGAGGAACCAAAGACGGTACAATAAGCTTTGGGAGGAAACCAAAGCCAAGAGTGGAAAAAGGCAATGGATGATGAACTAGCAGCTTTATCACAAAAAAAAAATTGGGAAATTACTAAATTACCAAAAGGAAAAACACCAATAGATAGTAAATGGTGCTTTAAGGTGAAGCGCAACTCGAAGGGAGAGGTTGAGAGGTACAAAGCTAGACTTGTTGTGAAGGGGTACGCTCAAAAATATGGAATAGATTACGAAGAAACTTTCTCTGCGGTGGTGAGGTATTCCTCAATACGTCTACTTTTAAGCTTGGCAGTTCAGCATGATCTTGACATAGACCAAATGGATGTAGTAACAGCTTTCCTACAGAGTGAATTGAAAGAGGAAATATATATGAAAATTCCTGAAGGTCTTGAGGAAAACACAGGAAATGTTTGTAAACTAAAGAAGTCGTTATATGGCCTTAAACAAGCCAGCCGGGTGTGGAATAAGAAATTAGATGGAACTTTAAAAAACATTGGGCTAACACAATCTAAAACAGAACCCTGTGTATATTACAAATTGAACGGAACAGAAATAACATATGTCGCTATATATGTGGATGACATATTGATTTTTTCAAATAATCTTGAATCCAAAAAACACATTAAGAATTGTTTGTCAAGAAATTTCAAAATGAAAGATATTGGTGAGGCAAGTTAAATTTTAGGTATGAGAATCACAAGAGATCGTGAAAATGGAAAATTGTGGTTGGAGCAGGAATTGTACATTAAAGGTGTATTGAAAAGATTTAATATGCAAAATTGCAATTCTGTTTCTACACCATTAGATGTCAATAAAAAATTAACAAAAGATATGAAATCTTCGAAAATGGACCCTAAAGTACCTTATCAAGAATCTGTCGGAAGTTTATCTTATGCTGCTCAGGTCAGTCGTCCCGATATATCGTATGCAGTGGGGGTTCTGTCAAGGTACAACAATGAACATGGAAAACCACACTGGGAAGCTGTCAAACGGGTAATGAGATACCTCAAAGGCACAGTGGATTATAAACTTCAATTTTCGAAAGATGACATAGAATTTATTGAATGTTTTTCTGATGCTGACTGAGCAGGTGACCTTGATGATAGAAAATCTACTTCTGGGTATATTTTAAAATTTCAAAATGGCTGCATTTCATGGAACTCGAAGAAACAATCAACAACGGCATTGTCTACTTCTGAAGCCGAGTACATGACAATGGCTGCATCTGCGCAAGAAGCATTATGGTTGGGATCACTATTTAAAGAGCTTGGAAATTTTTCTTTCATCAGTATCAAATGCGACAATCAAAATGCAATAAGTTTGAGTCATAACAACACATACCATGCACGATCAAAACATATTGATATAAGACACCATTTTATCAGGGAATTGGTTGAAGATAAGAAATTATGTATCGAATATCTAAACACAAAGGAGATGATCGCCGATATCTTTACAAAGCCTCTATCAAGATTGAAACACCAGTATTGCTGCGAACTGATGGGATTAGGAGTTTAATCTAGTGGGGGTGTTGGAAATAAAGAATGAACTACCTAATACTACTACTTTGCATATTATATTTGTAAAATATCTAGTTAAAATTGTTTTGTGTAATTGTCATGGTATACAGAAAATTATAAAATAAATTTTTCCATTCGTTGTGAGACCTTTAATATAACAACAGTAATTAAGGAAATTTCGCAGCAAATTCAATCAGTGAAAATATAAAAATAACTCAGCATACTTTTCTTGATATTTGTGGAACAAAAACAGAGCCTATAAAATTCTTCCCTTTTCCATGAGAGAGTTATCTGCCGTTATCTACACAGCTGAAAATTATTATTGGTTAAAAGATATTCTCAAATCTTTTTATTAATACGTCAAAAATATAGAATTAAGGACAGGACACCAAACTAAAAATCAATCAGTGAATTTGGAGAAAATTATAAAAAAACTATCCTAATTTATTTACAGAACCTGATGAAAAATTAACTTGTACTACAAAGGTACTTGATGACATTAGGACCACTTCAGATATGCCACTTTATCGAAATTATCCTTACCATTTTTCCTTACGAGGAGTTGTTAACGATGAAATAAAAAAGTTATTACGAGATGAAATAATACGACCGTCGCGATTCCCATAAAATCAACTGGATATGGGTGGTGGAAGGAAGACATGTCCGGTCAAAAGAATTACAGAGTTGTAATAGATTATAGGATGAAGAATACTATAATATTTTACGTGACTTAATTGGAAAAATATGTTACGTCTATATAGTCGACATCACAATTTTTAGCAAGTCCAAGGAGGATCATATTAAAAATCTAAACACAATCTTCCATACTATAGAGAACGCGAACATGAAAGTTCCTTTTATATATGAGGAAGTAATACTGCCCTACCTAAACTTCGAAAAAGAATTTCACTTAACAATAGATGCTTCAAATATTGCCATTGGTGCTGCCCTTAGCCAAAATGGTCGACCAATAACATTTATTTAAAGAGAATTTTATGCCACTAACGAGAGAGAAATGTTAGCGATATTTTCAGCATTCGATAGTTTAAGAAATTACCTTAAAAATTCGGAAAATATTGGATATGAATGATTTTAAAAAAGTTGACCACCAAAATCGACAACCGAAGATTTACAAGAGGTCGTCATACATCCAAAGGTTTTCAGAACGATTTTCGAACTCAAATATGTATGACAATTGTGTCCAAATATACCGAAATGTCATTGAAAAATATCAAAATAGAAATAAAATTTAGCTAGGTGTCACTCAGTCGTGACACCTTTATTTCTCCACAAGTGACACCTAGCTAAATTTTATTTCTATTTTGATATTTTTCAATGACATTTCGGTATATTTGGACACAATTGTCATACATATTTGTGGATAAAAATGTAATTGTCATTTTTTATATTTGCACTTCTCTTCACATTGTATTAATTTTCACTTCCTGATGATCATCGAAGACGATCGAAATATCCGAAACGAAATAAAAACACATTAAATAAAGATAAATAAGCCGAATAAAATAAAAATCTAAGGAAATCTTAAAGGTCAAAAGTCAACAAAAATCACGTAAGAATTAGTAAACATTTTCAAAATATATTGAAAAATATTTGTCTGTAGAATAATTTTGCCATATAGAAGACGGAATCTTAACCCTTTGAGCCCCGAATTTTTTTCCATAATCATAGAACAATTTTCTGTTCACAGATTTAATGGAACTATCCTAGATAGGATATAGACAAAATTTTACATCACTACATCCTTGCATTCGGGAGATACAGTACATTATTTCTAAAAAATAAAAGTCCAATATCAAGAAAACAATATGAAAAATCGACGAAAAAATCATTTTCGATTATTCTCTATATTCTGTTCTACTAGAATCAAAAATAATTCTTATGACAGAATTCGCACATTTCAAAGACGAAGCGATTTAAATAATTTTGACTGGATACACAAATTAGTACTGTACACATTTTTGCCCTCTTCTCTATATTGAAAAGCTCATAAAATAACCAAAAATTTGAATTTTTTAGATTTTTCTTTTGATATGTGTCGTCCATAATCAGGTCTTGACATATGAAATCCCAAGAATATATATCTACTAGCTATATATTAAATATAAAAGGTCGTTTACATTGAACCGGATTTGGTTAACCCAGTGGGTTTAAATTTTCAATTCCTTTGAATATATGCCAAATAAATCCTCATAAAGTAGGTTAACCCGGTAAAAAGTTCTAATGTAAATGCCGTATAAGCTCTAAAACATTTTGTTGCCTGTGGGCAACATTGGGCCACAAAGGGTTAAATAATGTAAAAAAGTTACATCTTTGTACCATTTATAAAATTTAATGTTTTAGTGAAGTAGGAATCTTAGCTTATTTTATAAGATGTTAAAGTTGCAAAGTTGATGCCTGTTCTTGGCATATTCTCTTTTGGAAGGTCAATATGAAAACTGTATCTAATGCTTCCAAGAATGACTGTTACTTTGGACAAATTCGAATTCTTAATATTTTAATATTTTTAGTTCGAATTTTTAATATTTCCCGCCGTACTCAAAACATTTAGCTTCTTCACTTACTTATTTTTACTTATTTTTATTTAGATTAGTTAGGCCAAAATTATACCACTTTTTTATTATTTTCCACAACTAGTGTTGTTTTGTGTAACTCAACGATCGAATGGGCTTTGTTACTATAACACTAAATAAATAAAAAAAACACACATGTTATATGACTAATATATTAAATCTAGTGCTGGCAGGTAATAATATTTAAGTACTGTATGCATTTATCGTTTATTAGCCCTAAAAATGCATATAAGCGTTAAATACTGTAGAGTTAAACGTGGGCAAGTATACTACACTTTAATCTTAACAAGTTTTTTTTGTCGGAACATTTGACTATAAAGTTAAACTGAAGGAATATAAAGGTATACATAATATAAGAGATATTCAAAGGGGAGACAAAAATTTTCGTATGAAATTAGATTTGGAAACAAAAATTGCTCAATTACCTATCTTCCCTATCACCATTTTCAAATGTATTTTCCATTGAATTCGTCAACTGTTACTAAAGCTACATTGATATACATTTTATAAGGCAAACATTTGTAGGTTATAATAAAAAAACTGGTTCCGATTTTATGATTTTTTAAGCTTAAATTTCAAAATAGTATGTGCATGAAGTCTATGTATTTTACGGAAAATATCAACGTTTTTGGCTTAGTAGTTAAAATCTACATTGTACACATACATACAAAATTCTCATTCCGTATATAATTTCTACTACAAAATAGACTGCAACGTAATTGCGTACCTGTTTCAAAGCAAATTATTGTTAAGTAACATCTATAATAAAAATGTTTATAATATACAAATATCATATAGTAGATACGTACCTGTCGTTTGTGTATGCAACGCCCTTCTTTGCACTCTGGCCTTGTACAATGCTAAGGCAGTTTAATAAAGAAGCATACAAATTAATTCTTAATTTTTGGGAAACAACACCGCTTACAATTATCCACTCCAATAAATATTTCAAAATGAATTTAATATTTAATGCATTGGATTTCGACAGTTGACAGTTCTCTACGACCGTTGTATTTTGTTCATTGCGTTCGTAGTCTAAAATCAGAGATGAAAGATAAAATTCAAACATATTATTTATTTTAAGATTTATCTTTTTATTTTGAATACTTGCCCAATACCAAAGCGTTTGAAAAACAGTTCCGTAAGTTGACAAGTAGTATCAATATTGTTTCCGATATAATAGCTGATATTTCCAAAATCGCTTGATTTGGACTAATTTTGAGGAGGATTTTTTGTAATAATTCAATGATTAATTCCTGTTTCTTTGATGTAGACAAACATGAACTTGGCACACAGCTAAACAGTATTTCAGATAACTAATAAAGGAAATCATAAAATGAAAACAAAAAAAGCAAATGGCAAAAGTTGAATGCATATACCTGACTCCAAGCCTCTACGAACTTAATGATGGCATGTCGTTTGCATCGCTGTTCATTTACTTTAAGGGCATACATCATTACAGACTCGATTTCTTGTAACACTAACCTTCGCTGCCCACTTGCGATTGTGCTTTGGACTATTTTCAATTCACTGTGCAATGTCAAATGAATTTTACGCAGATCAATTACTTTATATCCATCGTTCGTTTTATATTCGCATTCTTTAAATATCTGATCCAATAAAGATCTATCAAAAAAGTTCCATGTTGGAACTGGAACATGATCCACTTCCAAATCAACAGTTTTAATAAGTTCACATAATAAGTTATTTCTCGCAATCGACGACGTATTCGTTGTTGTATCAATAATTGTATTGTAATTGTTGGTATAGAAATGGCTAAGCTCCACTGATGTTGGATCTTGGTTGTTTTTCGACGGCATACCCAAGAAAAAATCCGTAATATGTTGAAATCTACTCAACTGGCAATTTGATGCAGTCAATTTTAGTTCTATTGCAGTACACTTTAACAAGAAACTAATCTGATTTATAACATGAGAGCTTGTTATTTCCTGTACAGGTAGTTCGCTTAAATAACGACAAAGAAAGTCCTGCTTTGTCCGTAAGTATCGCAAAATTTGATCAGATGTTCTAGGATTTTCACACAAAGAATATAACAAGCTGAAAGAACGTTCAACAATTCTCTCCACGTCCGCTCCCACGGCATAGGAATTTTTTTTCACTTGCAAATGTTTTTCTAGTAAATAAACCAATGATTTTGTGCAATTGTTTCCAACATCTAATGAGCCCATTCTGTTTTTATTTGAGATATGTATGTCTTTTAGATGATCAAATCCAAGTAGAAACTGTGCAAGATTTGGGGTTGGTTGACGCAAACAATCTTGTATTAGCATAATAATAGCTTCTTTGATCTGCAAATGCACTTTTGTTGATTCCACACCATCAACACATGTAAAATTATCATCCGTCTCTATTTTTGTCGGTCTTTGTGCAAAATCGTTTTCCAAGCTCTCCACAAAACCGTGTCTTAAGATAGTCTTAATATCCTCATTTTGTGTAAAAATTCCAACTATTTGTGAGTTAACTCCTGGTTGGCTTGATACCATATGTAAGATTTTGACGGCTTCAAGAGCATGGTGCGGCAACCAATTAAAATATGTCAAGAAAAACGTTGTATTCAGTACGTGATCCGGTTTCCGGCTACGAGGATTAATATCCAGCAATATTTTGTTCAATCCGGAAAGCAGGACAGCGCTATTGGAAATTGAATGGGCTTCAAAGAAGATATCCTGATTTTTCAAACCCAGTTTCAAGATTTGTAGACATAGTAACGCACATTCTTCCAATGCATCTTTTCCTTTAAATTTTTTTAGATCATCTATTTCAACACGGGCATCGTCAATGATATGAAGAATTAGTCTTAGCGTATCTGATTTAGTTTGCAAATTAAGCATAATGTGAAATCCTGGAGGTGAATTAACATCCATATTTTCTTCAAAATCCTTTGGGTTTACTTCGTAAATCTCTAGCAGATAATGTAAAAGTTTCAAGCATTTCCCTCCTACTCTCCACTTCTCAGACGGATCTTTGTATGTCCTAAAACAGAAATTGGAAAAAAATTGTATATTGAAATTTTTTTCATTTATATAAAAGCAAATACTTATGTCTAAAATCACCACTAATATATATGTGGAAGTTTGTTTACATTGCCTAAACGAAGTTTATATAATTATATACTTGCATACATCTTAAACACAGTTTGTTAGAATAGACCTGCAGCCTCGGAATGTGATTCGAAAATGCGGACAGTTGAGTTGAGAATGGATGAAGATGCCCCAGCTCAATAGGCATATAAAAGCGAACCAGCTTATGTTTCACGCAGAAGGGGAAGGCCAAGAATTAGATGGAAAGATCGAGTGGAAGATAACATTGCCGAACATGGTCTTTCAAATTGGAAAAAGTGCGCAAAAGACCGACGCCCCTTGAAATCGTTTTTAAGCTCGGCTTATGGAACGAAAGTTCCGTCACAAGCCAGCTAAGTAATAATGTTATTCAATATTTTATTCATTGATTTTTTTTAAATGTTACTTTTTATTGTTATTTAAGCTTTATAACAATATAAATGTGAAATGCCAAGAATCAGTAGTAAAACTGCTCTGTAATTAAATGAAAATAAATTAAATTAAATATGGCAACATACAACGGCAGGTGAAACAGCTGTTTATTGTTTTGATGCAATAACTACAATAGATTACAAATAAAAGAACCTTTTTATAACGGCAAAAACCACATTGAACGATGTCAGAGACAACGAATAATTCAATTCAATTTTATTAAATTCAATAAGGAATATTGCAATTATACATTCCGTGACAATATTTGGTTGAGCATTCATCGTTATCAATAGGATTTTCAATGGCATTTTATTTGTTGTTTTTGAGTTAAAAATATGCATACAACCAATTAGAATATTCAAAATGTTTAATACTTATATTTTTGTGGTCAACTACCTTCAAATTTATAGTGGTCAAAATGTCGTTACATTCTCCCAATCCCTGTAATTCAGAATAACAAATTTTTCCCCAAACCCGATTTTTCGCTTTCGAACTTGATAAGGAGAAAATTGGCATAGTTTCAATATAAATAGAAAGTGTATTATTTGAAACGTTGTCTTGCCTTAACAATATTGTTAAGAAATAGTTTTCAGTATTTCAGATTTGTTTTTCTTTTTGTTTTTTTCTTGCTGTTTTTTACTTGCATAAACAATTTTTCTGGGTAAGAGATGTCCATGAAAATTGTGGGAACAGATAAACTTTTAATATATTTCGCCATATACCGATTTTGATCGTTACATTGGAAGCTGTAGCACACATTTTAATATAATTCACTGCAGTATAGAATTTCGTGTTTCAGTTGGGTTAGGTCGAAAACACATCGTTTGTATGACATTCACAAAAAGTAACATTACAGTACTGAGTATCTACTATTCTATGCTCATGGTTTTATAGAAAAAAAAATTAATTTATAATTGAGTTATATGTGGTGTTCTTGTCGAACCGGCAAACGTTGTTTTCCCTTCTACAATATAATATTTGTAATAATTGAATTCATGGATTTCGTTGAAATCAGTTCATATTTAGATATAGCTCCCATATATATTTTCGTTGATTTTAGGTAAATGGTGCACCGAGTGACACGAAATTTTGTACAACGTATCAAATTGACTCTAGAATGATGTTATTACGTGTTGTTGAAATTAGAGCAGATGCAGACACAGCTTCCAGGTTAAAATATTCACACAATTCGCAGAGTTTTCCCATTATTAGTAGTGATGTCTAAAGTCATGTATATTTGAAGTCGCGTGAGTGACTGCTCTTTTGTGACGTTTATCTCAAAAGTTAAAAACTATAGGCTCTCGATTTTTTTACCACATATAGTACTCATAAAGTTCTACAAAAAAAGTCTTAAGGGAGAATTGTAAAAAATGTATGTGTTTTCGATTTATTTAAGATTTCAAATTTGATTTTGCCTCTGAAAGTCGTGTAAGTGACTGCGGAAGTGCCCATATGTAGAATATACCCAAAGTGGTGAAGGGTATCATATCGTCGGCCCCGTCCGACTTTTCTACTTTCCTTACTGGCTTTACCTTCTAATAGAAGTTAAAGCCAGTAGTAAAGACGTTGACTGAATTTTCTACAATGTTGCCTATAATTTGGTATAACGGATTCCTGTAATAAAAAACTTCTTCCCAAAATTATTGTAATTTTCAAACGAAATAATCTAGGGCATGAATTTTAGAATCAGAATTCTCTGAATGGTCACGAACTCGATTCAGAATGTCTTCTGATTTTCCATTCTTGCATTTGTCCCAAAAATTCCGTGAATTCTTTGGAAAACGTGTGCATACAATGATCGCGTGTACATTCAATGATACACTTCTCAATTATTTTTTGTATTCTCACAAATATTTTTAATAAGTACAATGTCAATCCAATTGAAAAAAGAACATATTTTGAAAATTTCCAATAATTGACAAATGATGGCTTAAAAGATTGATACGCTACCAATTTCGCCCAAAATATCTCCAAATAACAAAAACGAAGTGGTCCAATCAAAATAGTTCGATACTAAATTCGTGGAAACGCAAATATGCTTCATAATATATTTTTAGCAAATTTTTCGCATTATTCGATTTGTTCTCACCTTTTAAACCTTCCCTGAAGCTGCACGAACAATTCAAAACTAAGATAAGAAAAATCCGTTCAGCCGTTCTCGAGTTTTAGCGAGACTAACGAACATCAATATATATATATATATATATATATATATATACTAGCGGGCCCGGCAAACGATGTCTTGCCTTAGCAATATTGTTAAGGAATAATTTTTTTAATTTCTATTCATACTTGCATAAACATTTTTTTGTGTATGAAATATCCATGAACATTTTTGGTATGGACAAACATTTTATATTTGTCTCCCATATACCAATATTGATCGTTACATCAGAAGCAACAGAATATCAAGTTTCAGTTGTCGAAATGGCAAACGTTGTTTTCCCTTCTAAAATTTCCGTGGATATAATTTTTGTAATAATTTAGATATCAAGAGCCGGAATTGTCATTCAGTATTCGGATTTAATTAGATTATTTCGCAATATGTTTATACGACTTCCACATAACGGTAGCCCAATGCTATGTAAGCTTTTTATAGCTTTCACAATAAGGTAAAATGTATATTAAATTTGTCATTCCCTTTGCAACACTGAGGGCCCAGAAAGTATATGTATATATTATTGATCAGAATAAAAATCTATGTCGAAATCACGATAGTGATCACAATATTTAAGATAGAGATTTGATTCGATGTTTGTTAATAAAAATAGTATATATCGGGGGATGTTGACACGGGTTTCAACCGATTTTTTTATAATTTGGTAATTGGGGGTCTTAATGTATACCGAACCTACTTACTTAAAATTATTAATATTGACTCAAGTATTGTGTCAAAAAGGCATCGGCCCACTTTTTATGATAGCCCCCATATACCGTACTCCCCATTATTCCTTATTTTGGGGTGTTTGGTTCCGCGATAATTTATTATTTTAAATTCTCATATGGTAGCAAATCTTTCTACCAAAAATTATGAATATTGGTTCACTTTTTAAGATATTCCCCATATAACGGTACCACCATTAGTTTTTAGGCCTTTAGGCACATTTTTAACCAATTGATTAGATACTTTGGGTTCTCATTGGGCAACATATCTCCATACCAAAAGTTATCGATGATATCGGTAAAAGTTTGGCCCGGTCGAACATAACGACGTTTTCACTTGTTATTAGATGTCCTAATTTTATATATCGGTAATTGATATATTGAGGTATTCGTAAAACCAATTGGTAACATCGTGAGACTCTATGTTATAATATATGTTTTTGACGAAGGTTTTGGTATATCCTTCACATTAGATATTATGCCTATTATGCATTTGCTGGTTTACCGATGGTATCGTATATATGCGAGTTTTTGTTTTTATAAGTTCAAACATATTAACCACCGATATAATGGTACCACCTGATTTGATATTCGTGGCATAGCAAAATTTTAGGAACTTTAAGGAATAACATGTTCCTATTAAACTATTTTTATTATGTATATTCAAACAAAAAAATCTAGAGCATGGATCTTAGAATCAAAATTCTATGAATGGATATAAACTCCATTCAGAATGTCTTCTAAATTGCATTTGTCCCAATATGTATATGCATTCTATACAATCATCGAGTGTATTCCACAAAAATAATACTTTCAATATTCGTACAATATCAATCCAATTGAAAAAAAATAAAATAAAATATTTTGAAAATTATCAATAATTGACAATGAAGTCTTAAAGGAATGATACGCTACCCATTTTTGACCAAAATATCTCAAAATAAAAAAACGACATGGTGCAATCAAAATGGCTCTATACTAAATTCGCGGAAATGTAAATATGCCTCATAATATATTTTGCAAATTTTTCGCGGTTTTCGACTTTTTCTCACCTTTTAAACCATCTCTGGAGCTCCAGGAATATTTCAAGACTACGATAAGAAAAGTTTTGGTCTAAATCGGTGCAGTAGTTCTTGAATTATGGTGAAAACCCATAAAAAAACTAAATATTGCGCCATCTGTCGGATGAACTTCAAACTACACAGAAACACTCCTCACGCCCCATAGAACATGTACATACAATTTGGTCCAAATTGGTGCAGTAGTTTTTGAGTTTAGCGATCACGAACATAAATGTAATTTTTATATATGTATATAGAGATACAGTGAGTGTAATAAGTATTTTGCCTCATTACGAATTTGACAAAATTCCAATATATACGTCAAAAGCCAGCATACTAAAGATGTAAATTGAATTATGTGCGATGCTATATGTTTGTGGACATGTTTAGATCTTATTTCTGCAAAAATCACTGCGAAAGACCTATTGGTCTTGAAGATATCGGCTAAAATCTATAACAACCCAAAAATGTTTATCACAAAAAAGTATTTTGCTTTTTACTATTTTATTAGAAAAAATCATTACACCTCGCACGTTTG